GCCCCCCCCCCCCCCCCCCCCCCCCCCTTACTTGTGGAGCTGCCATGGCTTGAAATGCTGTTGAATCTGCTGAGGCCCAGTTATATATATCACAAACTATGCATGATATTAATCTGAAGCCAAAAGGCTCTTGAGTTACTATATAGTTCAATGGGCTGAGCCCCAGCAAATTCAACAGCATTTCAATTTATACATATAGGTACACAAATGCTTCTTAAAAGTGTGTTTATGGAGTACCTGTGCTAAAACTTGCAGCAGTTTCAAAAAAGGTAAAATGCATCATTTCTGGATGAGCTAAATATATAGGTACTACATGTAAGTTACTACAGGTATGTTTATTTCAAAGTCAGTGTTTTCATATTTGTCCCTCACTTCCATGTACTCAGGGAGAACAGTGTCTGACAGTAAGGAGATGGGGGAAGCAGTTACAAAGGGAAGAAGTTTGGGGGGAGGCAGACAACAAAGGGCTGACCCCCCAGATTTATTTTCCCTGATATAGCAGTGGGAGGGGGACAAGTTTAAGGCAAACCTCCAATAATTAGATACTTAGAAAATGATAACTAATTTATACATTTTCCATATATAGAATCTAATTAATGTGGGGGATGGGGACTGCCTTACATTCAGGGTTGTATGTATTTGAGTAACTAGTAAATGGCAGAGCCTTACTCAGTAATAACACAAATGTGTGTGTTTCAATGTACATTAGTGATACCTTACAGAATTCTTGGACCAACCTACAATCAACTCCACATTAGGTGAAACCAAATCAATACCATGCACTGCCAAAGTTATAATCCATATAATTGCAAATAAAGGCTGCCTACACACATGCTCAGGGTTGGGGGCATTTTAATTAGGCATTCTCTGGAGAGCTGCTCTAATTAAAAAGCTGCAGCGTCACGTGCATTAAGCCACTGCATGTTTACAAATGGTCACGGGGTGCTTTAATTAAAGTTTATTTAATGACCTTTAAAGTGCCTTAGCCAAAGCAGCTAACATGTAAAAAAAGCCACTTTTCTGCGAAGATGTGAATTTTTTGTTAATAATGAATTTGTTTGTAAGACATACTTTTCTCCGGTACCATATTTGAGTCCTAGCAGACAACATGTTTCCTCAGGATCGGCCACAGGGTTTTCATCTGCATCCAATTCATGGCTATAAGAAACGTGGACATTGTCAGAAAGAAAAGCATTATCTCTTCTTCCCTAAGAATGAAAAGTTCTAATTACCACTGACAGATTTCATAACCTTCACTCTTACCAACATTTTTACGACCGTGTCAGTAAGAAACCCAAACAATTAAGACAGTTTAATATACCCAGCCATAGACTACATATACAATGACATTCCCATATATATAATTATGCCAATCACAATATAAACATGACCAATTCACATGAATTGTGAAAACTAGCTTTCCCTACCAAACAGTGCAAGCACTTTTCATTCCTGTGCCACAGGGATGATCAGCATGTCCTCTTAGAATAACTTCCCAGAGCAGCTCAACATATGAAGCTCTCATCCAAACGGACATATTGGAAATGTGAGACATTTCTCCAACTACTGCCTTTGCCTATTTTTCGTTACCTTGTTGCAAACAAACTTTACAAATCTGGCAAAATTAGTTCAATTACCAGCAGAGCAAGTTAAATTCTGGCTCTAGCTTCACTAAATCTTTCAGCTTTTGAGGAATTTAAGAAGAGCTGCCCATTACAGGCTTTGTAAAGTGCTAAGCATGTTGATGGTTTTGAACCACAGATGATAATTCAAGAAAACCAGTTCCTAAAAAGTTATTTGCCAATCCAGGTTCAGCAACTAAACAAGTAACAGATTATGTAATATTGTTCCCATCCCTTATTCCAGGCCAATACAAAGACAGATTTTTATGTCAAATGCATTTACACAAACAAGTATGTTCCATTCAATTTAACAGCCCCATGTAATATTTTTTATGGAATAAGACAGAGAAGAAACTTCCACCCTAGACAGAAGCTCCAACCTGCCTGGTCTGGCATTAAAGGAAGCAACCAGACTTACATAATCTCCAGAAGCCCCAGTGAAATTCAGGGTCTCATTTCCTAGATGTTCAAATACAAAGATGATATGGAAACAGGTTTCAGAAGTTAAAAAAAAAAAAAACATCTAAAGTATTACTTACCTCCTTTTGACTTTGGCATGTCTATGTTCAGGAGGCTCTTCTTCCTCTTCGCCATCTTCATTCTTATGACTCTTGTGAAAATGTCCTTCATTATTAGAATTTGGTCTAAGCGAGTCCTGTGAATCTAAAGATGTATACAGACTGCATTGTTTTTGCTTATCTAACAATCGCTTGTCTAGTTTCCAAAAATGTTTTGGGATCTTTATGTTTCATTTTTCCTTTTGCTGTGCAGTGTTATTCTGACAAATAATACTCTAGTACCAAGCGCATACAGCTTTGCTTCTATTCATCCTGAGTCACAACTATATTAATACAAATTTTGACCATTGCTACTTTGTTGTATAGGGTCTTTACCATGATGGACAATAGTAATTTTGGTGTGTCCAAACTGTCCCTGAAAATGAAAAGTTTCTATATACTACAAATTGCTTTCCCTTCCTTTTTATCTGCAAGTTAGTTAGGATTGCAATACTCTGCCTCCTCTTAATGACAGACAACAAATGCACGGATGCAGGTTGCAGAACTTGAAACAATGCAAGACAATCACACCTTCTAAAAGTAGTGGTATTTCTTGCCCTCTTCTACCCCTACCATGACTCTAGTGCAGAAACTAAGGGTGAGTTGCAGAAAGTAGAATAGAGGGTAGCGAGCAAACACTCCGAGTATTTACAGGAATAAATAGCTTCATTGTCCTTGGCAATACTTAAAAATAAATTGGTACTTATCCTAGTCATTAACTGTGGCTTGCACAACGCTACAGGCTCTATTTAATAGTTTATGATTAACAAACAGCTTATCAGGCAGAAACTAAAAGGCATGCAGGTGATATTACTTTTATAAAAACGAGATTTTCAGGTATAACTTTTTTTTGATCAGACAGAAAAGACAATGCACAGGCAGGATTGTACATCCGTAAATGCCTGCTTCTTCCCTCAGACCTAATGAATAATGCCACACATTCAAAACTTGTCTAACTTAATCCCAACCATGCAGCTGGTCCAATCAAAATCACCCTCAAAATTCTTTCACTTATTCCTTTCATTTATATCAAAGAAGCATTAATGTTATTATTTCACCACTATATCACCATTTTTCTAGTTCATTCAGGAGAGTTATGAAGATACACCTTTTACCCTAAGAACAGACACTTTCAGTAGAAAGATCTAAGAGGAGTGATATGAGGTTTCTAGTTACTTAAAGGGAAGGGAAAAGAAAAAAGAATTACTGGTAAGTAGTCAATTATTCTACAAAATACTCATTCTCCATTCATAAACTGAGCAATGAAGACAGAGCCAAGGTCAGCTCTTGTGTTATATACATCCATTTAGAGAAATATTACTAAAAATCAATCTATACTGACCTGACTGGTTTGTACTTTTATTTTCAGAAGATGCACTTCTTTTCTTGGTTCCACCATCACTAGGTTCTTTCTGGCTGGAACCACAAGGACACTGCTTTTCATTGCTAGCTGAATTGAGATTTTGATGGCCATTGTAAATTACTGATTTGCTTTGCTCCACTTCTTCTGAATTTAGATTTATTTTATTAATCCCAGAAAGTATTTCATTATGGGACTCATTACATGAACTAGGGTTTTCTTCACAATTAAGCTTGCAGGGAGGATCAGAGGGAAGAGACAAGTCTAGAACTTGACTACATTCAGCATCTGTGCTAACGAAGTCCACTTCTTGTGGATCTATTTCCACATGAGTTTCTGGGCCATCAGTACATGAGCTGTCAACACTCCACCCTTGACTTGTCCAGTAATTAAACTGTTCCCAGTAATACCAGTATTCTTCTGTATAATGCTGCTCCCACTTTTCCTTTGTGTCAGGAGAATTCCAAGGCTCAGCTACAGGCGTAGCATCTAACAACTCTAGTTCTTTGTGCTTCTCTAGCCAACTTTGCCACAAAAGGCCTTCTCCATACTCACTCCAGTACTTTTCCCATTTCTCTTTAAGTTCACTGGCTGAAGCATCACTATCAGGGGAATCTGTGGTTTTACAGTTTTCTTGAGTCAGAATCTTGTACTTGTTTATCTCCTCAGTTTGTTCTGTGGCTAAAGCTGGATCATCTGAAACAGACTGGTTAAGGTCTTCACAATCTTCTGCCCGAGTTTCCTGCATGATTTCAAACAAGTGTTTTTGACGTAATTGTTTCTTTGACATTTTCTTCTTCTTCATCTTGTTTCTCTTTCTGAAATTTTCTGTATCCTCAAATTTAAAAGAAAATATCTCATAAATGAATATTATAAATTAAAAATGTTTTATAAATTAAAAATACTACGGCCAAGTGGGTTACAAGAAAGAATTCAGGAATGTCTTCAAGACCATTTATATTACTACACCAACCCCATAATCTTTTCTGAGAGACCTAACGAATGTATTTCTTCTTTGACACATAACCTGGAGCTGAGGGTAGAAGGGGGAGGGCAAGGAAAGAAATCACCTCCTGGAAAATAAGTACTCACTGCTGACAAACAGACAGAGAGTTCCACACATGTACCCACACCCACCTTACTAAAATTATTTAATCGAGAAGATAGTACAAAGAAACAATTAATTGGGGAAGGGTGATAGAAGTAGAGTAATGGGACTGCAAAACTTGAAACTGGAGTAAACAAATGCAGCTCCATTCAGTTCAGCTAGTCTTGAACATGCAAACTATGATTTCAGGTTTGCAGCCTCCCTACACCTATAACTGAATGGAACTGTCATAGGCACACATACGATTCCCCGATATGCCAACATATTTATGACAGACCCTGAAGTTAGTTTCCTCTACAGCTGCCCTCTCATCCCCCTGGTATACCTAAGGTACATTGATGATATCTTCATAACATGGACACATGGGAAGGAAACTTTAACAACTCACACCCCTCCATCTAACCAACTTTGGAATACATATTGCAGCAGATTCATTTCCTAGACACTACAGTGAAGGTTTGCAATGGCCACATCCCCCACCACTTAGTATCAGAAACCAAATGCCACAGCTACCTTCACACCACCAGCTTTCATCCCCCACTTACCACTAGATCCATCGTCTACAGCCGAGCTCTAAGTCATGACGGAATCTACTCTGAACCCATTGACTAGGATGAACACCTTAAGGATCCGGACGGAGCACACTCCTACAGTTACAATACAAAGCCAAAACTGTAGCCACTCAAATCAATAAAGCCAGACTCAGACCATAATTTGACCTGCTACAATATCAACCCTGGTATAGCAGAGGACCCCTACCCCTGCTATTAGAAGTGGGTGGGTGCAGTGCTACAGAGAGGCTAGCTGCAAAGTTGTAAGTCTGTTGCCAGGAGAGACAGGTAGCAAGTATAGGTTGTAGAGAGGCAGGCATGGGCTGATTGGCTCAGATAGGGCCCCAAGGTAGTTTGTTGAGAAGGATGAGTGAGGCATGGGTATGGTTATGAGGGAGTCTGGAAGCCACAATTACAGCACCTAAAATGATCAGGGATTGTAGAGACAATATTAGGGACAAGAGGGCCACTGGTGCTGGCAGGACACAAGTGATGCCTGCTAGGCATAGCCCAAGGGTTCAGGACCTGTGACACTGAGACAGGGTTGGCAGACCCAGAGAGAAGTACAGCGAGGAGGACCCAGAGCCAAGAACAAGGACAAAGGAATAACACTTTGCTCAGTCATGGACTGCGGCCAGAACATGGCTTCTCAGGAATGAACAAGGCAGAATAAAGGACCCAAAACTTACTCTGATATCTGAGGACAGCCTCCCATATTTATTACTTAGACATCAAGGCATGGCAGGGGAGCACAGGACAGTGGGCCAAAAGATCAGTGTGCCAGGACAGGGTTGGAGTGGCCACAACTATGTGCCGCAGGCCGATCCTGTCACAAGGGACAATGACAACAGGATCCTTCTGGTTGTTACCTATTTCCCTCCAGCGTGAACACCTTAGGCAGATCATGAATTAACTCCAATTCCACCTGGAAAAGGACGGCCACCTCAAGCTAGCCATTGAAGCCAACCCTGTCTTACAGATAGCACCCTGAGCATCAAATGGAACCTCTCAAGCAACAGACTAACTGCCATCCTCACAGAGGCACCAGGCTATGCAATGGACCCAATCCACTACCTCAATACAGACCACATCGGTGGACTGAATAACAAGGAGTACAAGATCCAAGGTGCATTCCCCTGCCATATATGCCATCACCTGCTTAAAATGCCTGTCTGCTACGGAATAAGATTGTACATCAGACAGACAGGGTGCTCTCTACATTTAAGAATGCACAAACAACAATCTGACATCAGCTGCAGAAAGACACAAAGGCTTGTAGGAGAACAATTTAACCTCCCTGGACAGGCCATTGCTGACCTCAGGATTGCTGTTCTCAGGCAGAAAAAATTTGAAAAATATAGTTTGAACAAGGAACTGCAGAACAAGAAATCATCTACAAACTGGACTGCGAAGTATGGTTTAAACAGGGACTACAGTTCTCATTACCTGGCTTTTGTGAACCCTTTGTTCCTATGGGTTCTTTGTACACCTCCCTCAGCAATCCCTCTCACTCCTCCCCCTGCCCCTTCCCCTCCATACTGCTTTTCCACCTATTGTATTCCAATTAATCATTCCATTTCACACTCTGCTCTATACCATCCTTTCACAGCATCTGATGAAGTGAATTTGGGTTCATGAAAGCTTGTGCTTTCTCTCTCTCTCTCTCTCTATATATAAATCATTCAGTTAGTCTGTAAAGGTATCTACCCTGCCTTCTAGCTTAAGAATCGTAAGAGATGAAATATCCATTTTGTTAATATCTGACAGCAAGTCTTGGTCTAGATTCATAGACTGTAAGGGGCTGGAAGGGACCTCGCAAGATCATTGGGTCCAGGCCTGCTGCACTAGGCAGGAAAGACAACAGGGGTCAGGTGATCCCAGCTAGGTGACCATCCAGTCTCCTCTTGAAGATATTCAGAGTAGGCTGTTGCACCACGTTTGGAGGAAGTTTATTCCATAGTCTGGGCACTCTGACTGTGAAGAAGTTTTTCCTAATGTTAAGCCTGAAACGGTCTTCCAGGAGCTTGTGGCCATTACTTCTGGTTTTTCCCAAGGGTGCCCTGGTGAACAGTTGTTCACAGAGCCCTTGAAGTATTCCCCTGATGTAGCTGGAAGCTGCTACCAATTCCCCTGTCAGCCTTCTCTTCTTTAGGCTGAAGAGTCCCAAGTCCCTCAGCTCTTCCTGGTATAGCTTGCCTTGCAAATCCCTGATCATACAGGTGTGGCCTTCTCTGGACTCTCTCAAGCTTCTCCATGCTTTGTTGAAGTGCAGCACCCAGAACTGGACGCAGTACTCCAGCTGCAGTCTCACCAATGCCTAGTAAAGTGGTAGAATCACATCCCTGGTTTTGCTTGAGATGTGTTGGTCAATGCACGTCGTGCAGTACTGTTTGCCCTGCTGGCTACAGTATTGCACTGGCAGCTCATGTTCATACTATGGTCTATTATTACCTCTAGATCCCTTTCAGTCGCGGTGCTAGTCAGTTTGGCACCACTGAGTGTGTAAGTATGCTGGGGACTGTTCATCCTCAGATGGGGCACCTGACACTTCTCAATGTTGAACTTCATCTGGTTCCAATCCCCCCAACTTGTTAACTTGTCTAGGTCTACCTGCATCTGCAGCCTATCTTCAAGCGAGACCACCTTCTCCCTAACTTGGTGTCGTCTGAGAATTTGGCCACTGAGATCTTTACCCTTACATCCAAATCATTGATAAAGATGTTGAAAAGCACTGGACCAAGCACTGACCCCTGAAGGACACCATTGGCCACTTCTCACCAGGATGACAGATCCATTCATGAAAACTCTCTGGGTCCTACCCTGCAGCCAGCTTCCTATCCACCTGACTGTCAAGCATTTAAGCCCACAATCCTTCAATTTTTCTGTGAGAACATCTTGGGATACCAGATCAAAGGCTTTTTAGAAGTCTAGGTATACAATGTCGACCTTCTCCCTCTTGTCCAGTGGCGAGTTACCTGATCTAAATCTGCCAAACTACTAAAACTTGTCAGTAAAGGGTAAACAGAACAAGCTTGTGTTATGCTAAGCACAGTTTACCATGATCAAACACTACACCAATGAAAAATTAAGGATCATCACATTCCTTTATTAAATTAATTCTCAGAAACACTTGTCAGCTGCAAATGTTAAGTTTCCTTATGTTGAAAAAGGAGCTTCAAAATTCACTTGAATTTATGACTGAACTTTCAAGATGATTGGGACAATTGATGTTCAAGTTTTTAAATTAGAAGTTCAGCTAGAAATGGCTTGAATTATAATGCCTTCATCCAAACGCTGCTAAAGAAAGCTTGCAAGGCTGTATACACACATTCAAATGATCTGGAAGAATTCTTCCAGATTTATTCTCTTGGTAGAGAAACTTACCCAGAGCTGTGTGTAGACATTTGAATGCCAAGGCCCTGAAGAATGGGGAGCTTGTAGTGCTGAAACTGTGTGGGTGGGGTGGGGAAGACATTTGTGCACCTATCTCAGCTGGTGTACAAGCTCCCTTAGCCTGCCTGGAGATAGATGGCAGCAGTATATAGGGCCCTGACAGCTGTCTTGGACTGCCCAAGGTCATCCTGCGTTTCCCTACAGCACAAGATGCAGATTGTGATGGGGCTGTGTTCTGCTTCCTGCTGAAGCAGCAGATCCAGTGACCAACACACTGTCTCCAGGGGTCGGGGGGGAGTGGGGAAGGTGCTGAAGGACTATGCTGTCTTCTGGCAGAAGCCACATGTACAGACATTTGCTCTCCTAGGAGCAACTCTCTTGGGAATGATTTAACCTTGGTTGTTCCCAGGTTATTTTTCTCCTGGTACAGTCATTTTTACTCTGGAAGAAAAAGCCTGAACATCTGTACATGTGATGTTTCTCCAAGGAGAGTAGTGACTCTCCCAGGAGAAAATGAATGTCTGTACAAAGGCTTATTTATATTTTCTTAACACCCAACTGTTACCTAACTAAGCTATTTTTGCAAGTATCTCAGGAATTACTTATATTTGTGATCCAAACTTTTCTATTACAAGTCTGGGGGAAAAAACCCAGCCCAAAATCCCAATACACGTGACAGTTTTTAATCAAACCTATTTCTTCACATTACTTGCAGCCACTTCAGAAACACAAGCTGGACCAACAAAATTTGTTGGCAAGATTTGTGCCAATCTTTCAATCATAATACTTCTCTTACAGCTGTCCTACCAGACTCCGTATTAACATGTAAAACACTGCTTACTCTCATCACTGCCCTGTTTAAAAATGTACGTTTGTTTTGCATCCAAGTATTTTGTAATACCATGTACAGTTTAATTCAAAGCTAGGGTGCCACTTGTTTGTGTTGTCATGTGTGCAGCATGGTTTTTAAAGCACATGGCCTTTGTTCTATTTATTCACAATCTGGTTCATCTGATAAATGAATCAGGCCCTGATCCTGCAAGGTGCTCTATACTGACCCTCCCTTCACCTGTGAGGAGACAAACCACACAGGATTTAGGTTAGGTTTATGACATATTTACATGGCAGTCACAAAGCTCAGGTTGAGATACCAAGAAAGAGAAGTAAAATGGGTTTTACCACAAATTCCTTGAGAGCTGACTGTCCACCAAACTGAAGTGGTAGCCCCATATGCCTCATTAGTTCAGCCTCTGAGTCTAGTTCAGCCTCATCTGGGCCCAAGGCATGATTGCTATTTGAATCTTCTGTCACATTGGGATGATTATCCTCCTCTTCTTTTTCTTCCTCAGCTAACAGAGGAAAAAGTAACAAGCTATATTAAGTTATCAAACAAAACCTGTGCAAACATGTAAACAAAATATTAAGAGACAGCAAAGGAAGAAAATGTTTCACAGGACTTCCTATGACATGCAAATATAACACTAAAATTCCGGGGAAAGGGCTGGTTGCTTTATCAGTGTATTATGAGAGGGTCAACAAAGCTCATATAATATTACAAAACACAGTATACCAAAAATGCCAATAAATAATCTAACAAATCTTGCTTAGTGCCCAAGTCACTGTTTGCTTTTCTCTCACTCCTTTTAAATAAATAAGGCTGACAATTACAGATATGCATAATGTTACAAAAATAATTGAGCAAAGAGGCACTACATATTAATATGGTTTATTAAATACTGAATTTGTGATTCTGTAGAGAAAACTGGTTCATGGATATTTAATAAAGCATATGTAGCTCAGGATATAATTACAACTGAGTTAACAAGGAACACCAAGTTATTTACTAAAATGCGCTTTCTAGGCATTAATTAGTGAGTATACCAAAACATAGTTATGTGCATAAAACAAAAACAGGTGTCTCAATTCCTGACACTTTTACCATTCTGCCTTCTCATCATCTCATCTCACAAGCCTTTTCACAACATTTTTTGCTCTTCCTGTCTCTCTCAGCCTAGCCGCCGAAGTAGTTGCCTACTAGAACTCACGACTTTCTAAACCAGTTAATCTTTACATTGCCAACCTGTCCTGCCTTCAGCCTGTATGGAAGGCTTAATTTCAAGGGACTCATTAATGGGGGCATAAAGTCATAGAGAAGAGCTGAAAGGGACCTCTAGAGGTTACCTACTCCAACTTCCCATTTAAGGCAGGATCATCCCTATCCCAACTATCCTATACAATCCATAATCTAAACACGTTACATAAGACTACCATCAACCCTGACACAACACAGACCGAACACCCTAACCTGGCACAAGTAAATCAGGGGAACCACAGCAGCCAATGTCCTGCTTCTATGAAACTCTAACCCCAACCCTCCCCTACCAGAAGGCAACCCCCCATAGTTGGTACCAATGTGGACATGAGGTCAAATTCCTTCTTGACCCCAAATATAGTGATCGGTTTGATTCTGAACAAAGGGGCAAGACTATCTTGTCAGGAAGCTCCAGCTCATGTCCCACCAGAAGCACTGATACACCCTAGTCAAAGTCCCCAGCCTTGGCTGTAGCTAATACCCAATGCCTCTGAGGAAGGTTTAAAAACACCCTGACATGTAGCAGAAAGCGGAGGAGAGAAGAGGGAAAAAGCAAAGGCCAGACGCATGGGAAACAGAACACAGGCATAACTAAGCCTAGATCATTCCTGACCAGTGGCTGTCCAACCTCTTCTTGAACGCCTCCAGTGATGGAGAGTCTACAACTTCCCTAGGCCGTCTCTTTAGCAAAGAAGTGTTTCTGGATATCAAAACTAAACTTACTTTGCTGTAACTTCAAGCCATTGGTCCACATCCTCCTCTCTGCAACAGGAGAGACAAGGTGCTTTCCCTCTTTTTCATGGTAGCCCTTCAGGTATTTGAACACTATTACGTCCGCTCTTAAGCACCTTTTCTGCAAGCTGAACATGCCCAGCTCCTTCAGCCTCTCTTCATGACTTGCTTTTCAAGCCCTTTTATCATCTTTGTCACCCGCCTCTGGACTCTAACTTTTCCACATCCTTTTTAAAATGTGGAGCCCAGAACCGCACGCAGCACTCCAGATGAGGCCTAACCAGTGCCAAGTAAAAAGGCATGATCACTTCTAATGTCAGTTCATGTTTCTATTGGTGCAGGACAAAACTGCATTCACCTTTTGCGCAGCTGCATCACAAGACTCATACTTAGTCTATAATCTACCAAGACTTCCAAATCCAACTAAGTGTCATCCATTTTATATTTGTTTTTGATTATTCCTCCCAAAGTGTAGCACCTTGTATTTGTCTGCATTCAAATTCATCTGTTAGCTCTAGCTCAACTTTCCAACCTGTCAGGATCCTTCTGAACAGGCCTCACATTCTCCACCATTTGCAATCCTCTGCAAACTTGCTCAAGCTCTCAATTCCAGAATTCAAATCATTAATAAACACAATGAGCAGCACTGGTCCAGGAAAGACCCCTATGGTATTCTACTTGAAACCTCCTGCTACTCTGCTCTGACATGAACCCATTAATAATTACCCTTTGCTTATGGCTATTGATCCAGTTATCTATCTATCCTGTAGTACTTTTATCCAGCCCACATTTCTTCAATTAGCTTATGAGAAGGTTGCGCAGGACTTTGTCTAAAGCCTTGCTGATGTCCAGATACACTATATCCACTGCAATACCTTCATCTACTCAAGTAGTTACTTTCTAAAAGGAGATCAGGTTTGTTTGACAATTTGGTTTCTATAAATCCATGCTGACTGTATGTGATCAGCTTGTCATCCTGCAGATGCCTGCAAATGGCCTTCCTTAGGATATACTCCAATAACTTTCTGGGTATTGAGGTGAGGCTCTGTAGTTCCCTGGATCCTTCTTTTTGCCTTTTTCAGTTCTCTGGTACCTGGCCCATCTGCCATGACTTCTTGAAGATCACTGCCAAAGGCTCCATGATCTCTGCCAGTTCCTTCAGGACCCTGGGATGAAGTTCATCCAGCCCTGCCGACTTTGAATTCTTCCAGGCCAAACAAAAGCTCTTTGACAGTCTCTTTTGTTATCTCCTCCATCATCTTGTCCCCTCCTTATCCAGATGATCCCTGGCTGCAGCTTTATTTTTTTTTGTGAAGACTGAAGTGAAATAGTGTTAAATAGATCTTCCTTCTTTGTATCTTCAGTTAGGAGTCCCCCCTAGCTTGTTAACAGAGGACCCACAACTTCCTTGGGCCTCCTTTTCTGGCCAGCATATTTCTAGAATGTCTTCTTGTTGTCCTTAACCTCCTCTGCCAGTTGCATCTTATTATTTATCTTTGCCTTCCAGATTTTGTCCCTGCGGGTTCTTGTTATTTCCTGGTATGCTTCTCTGGTGACCAGATCATTCTCCCATTGCCTGTATGTTTCCTGTTTGCATTTGAGGCATTTTAGAAGCTCCTTGTGCAGCCATATTGGTCTCTTACCGTTCTTGTGCTTTGATTGTATCTGGACAGTTTCTTGTTATGCTTTCAATACTGTGCTCTTTAGAAGCTCCAGCCCTCCTTAGTGCCTTTATTTTTTAATCTGTCCTCCCATGACACCCACTATGCCTATTAACTCCTTGAGCTGGATGGACTCTGCCTGATTAGGGAGTCCAAAGGACAAAAGTCAAGCAGCATGGGGGGAGGAGGGGAGCTGAAATAGTCAAAACACAGTATAATTATTATTTCAATGTAAAATCTTAAAAAAAAGAAAATCAGCTACTTTTAGAAAAAAATAAGGAATCATAAATCAGAAATAAGGATTCAAATATGGACTAGTGTTATTCAGCACTCCCAGAGCCTGAATGACCAATGTAATTGTAATTATGCAAATATTATCAACCAATTTCATTACTAATTCAAGTAGCCAAAATAAGATCTATCCCCAAATTTTCTAACTATGAGTTAGACCTTACCTGTACTGTCACTGACATCTTTGACATAAAATCCCTTTAATCCTAGTTTATATAATTTTCGATCCCTGTAAAACAAGTGGAAAAAAATGGAAGCACTGAAGCACATTGTTATCATTAAATACGTAAAATATATAAACAAATAGAAAAACAAGAAAGCGAAAAGAGAAGGCAACATACCAGAGACTGATGAATAACAAAATATACCTGTATGAAGAAGATGAGCAGAAAATACAAGTTGTATGAAGACCTAAAATGTGGGGCTTTATATCCTGAATACATCTATTCAGGTACTACTTAACTTTACAGGTGCCAAGACCCTGCAAGGCACCACTGTTTTTATTTTTTTTAATTCTAACAATACCAAAAGCTGTGTTTGTACACATGTCCTAAAGTGCCTCAGTGATGACACACCTAATAGGCTAAGCATCTACAACTGAGATCCACACACTATACATTCCTTGGCCTGTCACCTCCACCTGCTAGGCACTTCTAGGCCATATACACTGGATTGGGCCCTGTACAAAACAGAAGGCATGGCTGCATTGATTGCAGCTGTAAGCTTCCAGTTAGATGATAACTCAGTGGTCGCAGCACTCACCCAAGACATGTGAGACTCAGGTTCAGTTCTCAAAGGAAAGAACAAGCCAACACATCCTAGGAGGTGTCCTGTGACTAGCAGAGTACTTTGAACAAGAAAGTCTCAGTCTTCAAAGCTGAACCTGTTCTACTGCCTCTAAGTGACTTAAAAATGTACCTAGCCAGAAGAAAGAGAGAGCACAACACGGAACAGAATTCTGTAGAAAGTAGAGCACTTACCGAAGTGAGGGGAACTTAGGTTCCAGACCTTATCCCAGGGGCAACCAAATTAGGACCTGCAGGCTGGATCTGGCCTGCATAACTGTGTTATGTGGCCCATAGGGCTCCCCACAGATCCAGAAATATAGGTGTTTAGAGCAAGGGTGGGCAAAAAATGGCTCATGGGCTGGATATGGACCACCAAAGATTTTTATCCAGCCTATGGCAGGTCCCCTAGTTCCACCCAGCCCAGACGCAGGGGACAGCCCAGGCGATGGTGCATTTGGCTGGTTCTGCTGCCTCCAGGCGTGCAGCAGGTCTGCAGAGGTGAGACGGTCAGACTCAGCTTCCCAGTAGCCCTGGTGGCAGCAGTTCCTTCTGGTGGTTGCTGCCAGTATCCCTGTTGCCACCAGACCAGGTCCTGTTGCTTGGACACCCCAATCTGTCTAGCCTGAACCAACTGCCAGGGCCGCTGGACAGAGCAGGTAGGCAGAGTCTCCAAGGAGAACGTCCCAGGACCCCAAAAGCAGGGTGGGTAGATGGGATAGGCCTGCAGGTGGACAGGGAGCAGTGTCCAGGAACAGGGCAGGCAGGAAGGGCCAGAGCTGGGATTGCAGGATGGTGACAGTGTGGGGCCAGGGCCTGGGGCAGAGCCACAAACCACTCTCCACATGTCCCTGCAACAGGTGGCAGTTTCACAGGCAAAGGCATGTGGGGAGCAGAACACAGATCTGCCCTGGGCCCAGGCCCTGGTCCTGCAGTGTCACAGCCCTGTGATCATGGCTGTGGCCCTCCCCACCATTCTGCTCCTGGATGTTGCTCCCTGCCTGTCTGTGGCCCCATCCCATCCACACTTGTGACCTACCTGTGGGGTGTTCCTCTCACCACACCAGGTTAGCACACCCCCCACCCCAGCCTTGAACACCTCACCAAAACTCCCTAAGTGGCCTTCCAGCACAAAACAGAGTGGTGGCAGCATTAATTGCTACAGCTCCCAGTGCTACAACAATTAATGTTGCTGCTGCTCATCTTGCTAACAAATTTCCAGACCCCTGAAGAACAGTGTAGGTTGAATCTGAAGTATGGAGCTACATCATCTGGTCCACAGGACTGCTTACAGAGGCAAAAATTTAGCAGCAGAAAGAGTGGTGGCTGCCACAACTCCAGAAGTTTCAGCAATTAATGCTGCCACTGCCAAATTCCTGCCCCATGAGCCAGATGACATCTACATGCTCTGGATATGACCTGCATACTGGCCCTGCACTCAGAAACTGGCCTATGGGGCTGGATGAGTTAGATAAAAATGTCAGTGATGCCTCAGAGGAACAATCCATGCAGCAGACTGGAACCGAGCACGCCTCGCTTCCAAGTGAGTGCGCAAACTCTTGGCCAGAAATGCTATCTCCTTCGCACCCAGAGGTCTTTCATTCTTAGTACAGTGTGAAAGAGCTTCAACCAGAAGGGTTGAGAAGTTTCCCAACACAGAAGTGCCTATGGACTAATACAGCAGTTTTCAAAATAGGATATGCAGCACTTTGCCAGGGGGCATATGGCTGAATTTGAATAATGGCAGTGGAGCTTCTGACTGGCCAGCGCATGGTGAATAAGAGCATTGCCACATGTTGACACTGGTGTTGACAGTCAAGGAATGGGTATGCAGCGACACTGGCTGCTGGGGATAGGAGCAGAAATATTCTGTAGGTAAAAAGGTACATGGCCAAAAGAAGACTGAAAACCTGGCCTACAAGACAGACATTCAGCTTTAATGGAATCAAACATATCCCTAGAAGGGAAGGAAATGAATCCTGGGTCTCCCAGACCCGGGGAGCATGTTCTAACCACTGAGTTATCATATAAAAGGGGGTACCAGCACCATCTCTTCCTGCTCTTTTTTAAATGGGACACCAAAGCCATTCTTGAGCAGAGGCCTCAGCACCTAAAGCTTTTGGGCTGCAAATCCAGAGTGGGAGGAGACACCTGTCCCAGAAAGGGGCAGGCTTTAGGACATGCCCCGCCCTCAGTGTTTCCTTACAGACCAGCTTGCGGAGGCTCCTGCTCATTACAGTGAACTTTTCTGATCCTGTACTGAAACACCTGATAGTCCCTTATGATATGCTGTTGTGGGACATGGACCAGAGCCCATCAAGTAGAGGTATAAGCCTCCTTGGTGAGCGGGGTCACTAAGGGCACATCCCTGATTGTTTGGAACAACTGAAAGACAAAAGAGGCAGGAGTAGGGGTCACAGGTTCACACCAAGTGCACCAAGGTGGGACACTGAGCAGAGCACCAGACAGCACCCACTGGCCCTCAAACGAGGGCAAGGAGCCAGAGGACACTGTCTAGTGAGACTCTATCCAGAGACACGACTAGAACAGAGACAGGAAAACAGCTACGCAGTCCCTGATGGTTTCCCTGGTGGCAGCCTCCTTCCTGGGGAGGTATATTGCCAGCTTGGCTAGGGCCAGGAGGAGGTTAATCAGGAGGTCTTGGGACTCCGTGGAGCCTCGCAACAGAGCAGGCAAAACGCTCGTGCCCGGTGCATGCCCATTATTTGGCTGCGCACTGCACAGGATGCACAAAACCCAGCTGCGCTGTGAGGGATCCCATGGAGATATGCTCGCGCTCCCAGGGTGGCTATTGCAGCATCGTTCTCCGAGAGCCTCGGGGCTCTTCAGCGCGGCACTGTGGTGGCCTCGGCTCCGGGGGCCCCCTTGGCTCGCAGACCCTGTCCCGGGCACCCGGCGGCCGCGGGCAAACACCCGCCACCTTCGCCCCCGGGCCCAGCGCAGAGACCGGGGACAGCAGCGCTACCCGCTGTGAAACGACTGGGCCGCCTGGCGCCAGGCCCAGCAGGGGCCATACTCACTCGACGAAGGCCCGCGAGCAGCGGCACAGGATGCAGCCGGCCGCCCCCGCCTCCAGCACCAGCTCGGCCACCACCAGGCTCCTCATCTCGCGCGCAGAGAGCAGCAGGCGCATCCCCTCCCGCCGCACACGCGCAGCACGCGTCCCTTCCGCCGGAAGTGACCACGGGGCGCCCTGCTCAATGCGGCCCGGGCGCTTCCGGCTGCGCGGTCTTGCAGCGGTTGGTGGGCTTCGGCTGTCTCCCGGCACAGCTGGGTGCGCACGGGGGTTACCGCAGCCCCGGGGGCCGCTGGCACGAAAGGCGAGACGACGACTTCGCTTCAGTTCAGCGCCTCACGGCATCGTTTGGGAATGATTCAACAAACTTCCTTAAATTAATCAATGCTGAACCGGTTTCATGGGCAGACAAGGTTCTTGGGGTTACTCTGATGTCTTGTATTAGACCAAGTGAAATAGTTGGGAAAGAAGTCTTCTGTGCAAGCTTTCAGGTGCCAAAAAAAGAAAGCTTGCAAAGAAGAATTTCTCCAACTCTTTTAGTTGGTTTAATAAAAATTATCGGCTTGACCCAAAGAATCTTGTCTGCCCATGTCCTCAGACCAACGCGGCTACCAACGACCCCAGAACCTCTTTCATGGGTTTTTTTCACCATTGTGAACTAATGCTGAATTATTCTAATAAACTCAGCACGATAAACTACTTACACTTAGGTGCAAATGCAACCACTGAGAGGTCCTTATGTCATCTGCCTTCCCACGTAAAAACAATAGATGTTAGAAGTGAAATCTCTGAAAAGTCACTCATGTTTGGTCATAGTATAGAAAGTGAGGGTTGGAAGAGACCTCAGGAGGTCACGTCTAGTCCAACCCCCTCCTCAAGGCAGGACCATCCTTAACTAGATTATGCCAACCAGGACTTTGTCAAGCCGGGCCTTAAAAAGCTCCAAGGATGGAGAATCCACCACCTCTGGGTAACCTGTTCCAGTGCTTCAGCATCCTTCTAATGAGAAAAAAAATTCTAATGTCCAACTTAGACCTCCCTTGGTGCAACTTGAGCCCACTGCTCATTCATGTACGGAAGGTCATTCATGTATGAAAGTGCAACATCTGTGTCCAGTTTTGGGTCTCTCACTACAGAAAGGATGTGGACAAGTTGGAGAGAGTCCAGCAGAGATGAAAATGGTTCAGGAGCTAGGGTACATGACTTCCAAAGAGAGGCTGTGGGAACTGTGTTTATTTAGTCTGCAGAAAGAAGACTGAGGGGGGATTTGATAGCAGCCTTCCTGAAGTAAGATTGGAAAGAGGATGGAGCTAAACTGTTCTTAGTGGTGCCAGATGACATAACAAGACGCAATGGTTTCAAGTTGCAGCAAGTGAGGCTTAGGTTGGATATTAGGAAAAGCTCTCTCACTAGGAGGGTGGTGAAGCACTGGAATGGGTTACCTAGAGAGGTGGTGGAATCTCCATCCTCAGAGATTTTTAAGGCCTGGCTCGCCAAAGCATTGGCTGGGATGATCCTACCTGAGCAAGGAGTTGGACTAGATGACTTTCTGAGGTTCCTTCCAACCCATAGAATTATAGAAAATTATCTCCTTCTCAAGATTAAGCAAGCATTTTTCTGTTTCACAGCCTGGTTTTGATTTGTCTTACTATCCTCAGTGACAATCAACAATTAACCTTTAATCAAACATTGTAACATTGTAACTTTAATAAAGGGCTCACACAAAAACTTGGGTGAAAGACTGGACTAATGCTTTTAGAGGAAAATCTCTTACAAATTGTGATTTGGGACTCAGTTTTTCCATGCAGGCCTGTCTGTATCGCATAAAATGTAGCCACTGTTTGTAATACAAGATGTTTTAACGTTCCATTCTAAGGAAATGTGGGTATTTCTTACTGGTATTGGGCTGAGTTTAGATGTATATGGTGTGATGCCTGGTAGAAGAGAAGAATACTTCTGGATTTTGGAGTTCAGTGGAAGTCTTTCCATTTCACTGATACTCTTGAGTGAAGGGTAGGCCTTGACATGTCAACATGGGGGCAGCCCAAGAACAGGAGCCGACAGCCTTCTAGGCTGCCTATATATATATATATATATATGCTTGGAAAGTGGGGGAGGAGGGGGAATTAATTAGAGTGGCTCCCAGGCAGATGCTCTAATTTAAAGGGATCACTGTCACATGTATTAAGCCCCTCCACATTTCAAAATAGCTGTGGGGTGCTTTAAAGCTTTTTCAGCAAGGTTTAGTTAATGTGCCCATGCGGGCATTTTGAAACATGGAGGCAGGTGTAATACATGTGGCGGTGAGGCAACAGTGGAGCACTCTAATTAGAGCACAAAGCAGACCCAGTTATTCAAGTCTGCTTTAATGCATTCCAATTAGAAGGTGAACAAGCATGTTTATAGGCAGCCCTACATTTTAATTTTTTCTCGTTCAGTTTAGTAACAAAGTTCCTTAGCAGCTACACTTATACAGGTGTGTCTGTTTTTACTTAGTTGTAAGAAAAAAGTGGAAGGAAAACAGATGAAAGTATAATGATGTGTAACTTGGCTTCTTTGAGTAAAGGGATTGAAAGTGCAAATCAACCCTTTCTTGTTGAATAACCATAATGATACCAGTGTTTTTACAGGCGATTCATTTGCCAATCTTAGCATGCAGTTCTTCAGTGAACTTACATGTAGTTCTCACTGTATTAAAAAGTTAGGCCTTAAGTAGATGTTTTCACATGCCTGTTAGAAACAGACTGCTAAGAAAACATCTAAAACTCCTGACTTCTTTGATTATAGAGAGGAAGTTGGCTTGCCTGGACTTAAGTATGTCTCTCTAAACAAGTTAGTCTGCAGTGCTGCAAACCTGTGTTATCATTTCTATCTCAGGTAAAATAAATGTACCGATAATTGTTTTCCCTTCTTTTTCTAGTCTTCTAAATACTAACTAACATGTTATAGCTTCTTCTTCCGGTTTTTAGCAATTGTTAGTCACAGGCAGTATGCATATATCCTGTAGCTAAGTCCCTGGGTACTCTTGTGGCAAACTGAACATCATCATGTGATTTCAGTATACAAACAAGCCAAAGTTCCAGCTGTAGTTAGGTTTTTGCCATCATTTCTCTGGATTTTTGCTGCCAGCAGCCAGAAAGTCCCCCTAGGACTGAAACTTTTATACTCTGTAGCCATGAATATATCAGGAACCAATTACAGGAGGGAGGGAGAGCTGAATAAATTTGGAGGAAAACAGAAATGAAGATTAGTGGAGTGGAAGAGAGATACAATGAACAGAATTGGCATATACCCGCTAAACGACTGGATCTGGCCAGTAGATGTGGGTCTTCAATGTCATTTGGTGGCAGGGGGCTTTGGCTGCAGACACTCTCCCAGTGGTACCACAAGTACAACTTGTGCCAGCAGTCTCCTTGTGTATCTGTGGAGATAAGCAGCAGTAATGGCTGGGTCCTAGCTCCTTTTCACCCACCTGTCTTAGGCTCAGGATGGGTCATTGTGGCCTACAGCCAGAAAAGGTTGCCTATCCCTGTGTCACAGAGCGGGGTCGTAGGAGAGATCACGGCCGCTCCGGACACCCCCTACCATGTCAAGTCCAAGATAAAGCACCCTCGTTCTCGCCCGCCACGTCTTTGATGTTAGGTATTTTAAGGGAGGCTGCCTTTTTGTCCCCTTGGACACGGTGCTCTGGTGTATCCTGGCCCCTGTTCTCTATTGACTGACTTGGTGCACCCCAGCCTTATGGGCTAGGTGTGGCTCCTACCACCCCTGTACCACGCCCCAAGCCTCGCAGATTACTGGATGTTGTATGGTCGATCCCTTGCCGCGCCCTTATGGGCGCCCCCTGGCTTGTGTTGCAATTGCCCGCACCCTCACAGGCTCCCTGGGCTTGTCTCACACTGGCCCAGGCCCTCATGGGCTCTCTGGCCTCTTTCACAATGGCCTGCACCCTCACGAACGCTCTCTGGCTTGCCTTAGGGCCTTCACCCCACGGGCGTTCCCTGGCTTCTCTCATGGTTGCCCCACGCCCTCACGGACGTTCCCTGGCCTCTCTTTTGTCGCAGCTGCCCGCGGATGCTCCCCAGCCTCTCTCACGGCTGCCTTCTCTCGCGACCGTGCCGGCTCCGGGGCCTTCTCTCGATTGGGGCTCAGGTGGCTGTAGCCGTGCCTGGCCCCAAACCTCCCTCCTTGGGTCTCAAAGCGAGTGCCCTCCGGGCTTCTCACCTGCGCCCGTCCTTGGGCTTCTCACAATTGGGGCTCAGGTGGCCGTAGCCGTGTCTGGCCCCTAAATCCCCTCCTCAGGTCTTAAGTTCCTGTAGGGCTCAGGCAGCCTCAACCTTACCTGGCCCCCAATCCTCTTTGCCCCTTCTCAGGGCTGGGGTCAGTGCAACCCTGAACATTGTGCCCTCTCAGGCACCGGGGTTCCCACACTACTGTGGAGCCCCTGTGAGGTCTCCTCCAACCCCTAATAGCCTCACCCGGTCCTCCGGTCTTATAAAGCCACAAACAGAAAAAACTCAAGCCCCTAGGCTACAATGTAAACTCTAAGCCATCTGGCTAAACATCATTCAGCTCCCTACCAGGGCTTTCTCCACCTGGTACCCTTGAACAGAAGCTGCTCAGGCCATCAAGCTTCCCTACTCTGCTTACTCCAGCAGAGCTCCTTCTTCCTTGGCTGCAAGTGGGGAATTGCCTCTCTGGCCTCAGCCTGGATCACCTTTATATAGGTCAGGCCCTGCCCCCTTGTGGTCAGCAGACCAAACTGCGGTTGCCCCGGCAACCAGCACCTGTACCTCTTTATAGGCGCAGGGCACTTCAGTGCCCTGAGACAGGCCTCCCCCCTTAAGTTCAAGGCTCACTAGGAGCAGGGCATGGAAGTACCCTGTGACACCCTGCAATGGATATTAAAATAACCTGTAGAGAAAACATCCCCTAAACAATATACCAGCTTAGTCTTGTCTGCCAAACACCTGCTCAAATAGAAGCAAATCTTACAGCAATTCCAAAAGATGTCTAGGCTTGGACTCTGGCAGGACTCAAGGGGGAATTCCAGAGCTGAGGAGCAATGGCAGAGAATGACTTCCCACATGTTTTTGTCAAATAAACTTGGATGCTCATGGTTAACCTTAGGAA